TGGCTGAGCGAGGTGTGGGAGCAACACCGAGGGTTGCGATCCCGTTGCCGGTCCCGGTCCGGTACGGGTGCGACACTGAGGGTTGCGATCTGTTGCCGGATACGAAAAAAGACAAAAAGGAAAAAAAAAAAAAATTTGGGCAGTGCCCATGACAAAAGACAGTGGAGGATTCATCTTGTTCCTTTTATTAAGCTGAGCGAGACAGAAGGAGAAGTGGGTGCTGTATATTATTATGTCCCTCTGAGAATAAAGATTTCTGCTTGCCTCCAGCATTTGTTGGAGTTATTAAGTTTAGTCTTTTCTCTATCTCATATCTTTCTTCCCTTTAGCTGGCTGCCTAGCATTGACAGCATCAGGCTGAAAGTTTGACCAGCGAAGAAGATTGTTTATGCAACACACATGCTTACTGAAAGGATTTTACTATATTATCCAAAATCTTACTTTGTATCATAGAAGGATGACATTTATCCCTTCTGCAGTTTGGATTTTGGGGACAAATGTAGAAAAATTGACATCAGATCCCATAAGAAAGTCATGATTTTTGTCTGTGAAGTCCAATGTCTTCCATTAAAAACAAAAAAAACCCCTGTGTGTATAAGCACCTGAAACAGCTTTATAAAAAAATGTAGTGTGATTAATTTCATTTTCTTGTTTGTTTTCAAATAGTAAGTCCTTATCAGGGTGCTTTATTGAAGAATGCCCAGTCACTACCGTGACTACGCTGTCAGTAGGATTGAGAAAAATAGTTCCAGATCCTGAAAGAGATTCTAGTTGGTTATCTTAATAAATTTTCCACAGTTCAATAGGTTAATTCCATTCATTGACTTGGTCTTTCGCAATAAAATCCTCACAGTAGCCTCCAGTGGTCATGTCTTTGGAAGATTATTATACTTGCCAATATTAGCAAAAAAACTTGTGTATTCCAGAAAATGAAAATAAATGAGAAACACACCTGGAAAGCATTGGAATGGTGGAATTCAGACCTCCTCTCCAAGTAAATAGGAATTTGCCTTCTCTGATCTCCACTTAGAAATCAGATTTCTAAGTTTAATTCTAATTTGACATCTTTCACGTCCTCATTCACTGGTAATTTCTGGATGAGCTTTCTAACCTAGACCTCTGCACAACGGCGGAACATAGGAAAACATTTGCCCCAGTAGCAATTATCTATTTTCTCGTTGTCAAAAATCTCCAACTTCCATTCATTCTCTGGGATGAGAGATGGAATGCTATCCCTTAAAAAAAAAAAATCTCAGTGCAGGGAAAATGGCATCCTGTCTCTAGTTTTGTTTCATTATTTATTTGTACACAGTTGTTTTTTGCAATTGCCCTTCATTCCCTTCACACATTTTTGCAAGAAATTTTTAAACAGAACATAAATAGGAAGCTGGGTTGTTATAATGGATTTCCATTCAGGGCTGATAGTTTTTAGACTATGGACAAGAGAAGGAAGGAACCTAAAAATGACAGTACTGTGGCATTTAATATAGCAATACAATGCATTTTGCTTTTCCTGGGATATTCCCTGGGAATTTTATTTGCATAATTATAATTTCTACATTAGATGCTGACAAACAAGTGGTTATTATCAATTTGCATTGTCTGCAACAGCAGAAAGAGAAAAATAAAAACTTGTAATACCTTTATAGTCTGTTTCCAGAAAAGTGACATCAATGTACAGTGTTTTTTATTCTTCTCACTTAGTCAATTTCAAATCATTTTAAGTACTTCCTGCAGCTTCTAGTAATCATCTAGTTTGTACTGCTACCCAGAGGTGCTGTAGGATATCTACCAGCTTTGTTAGAGCCCATTTTCTTTCCTAATATTTCTGAACATAAACATGCTCCTGTGTCCCCACCAGTTCCACTGTCACCAACAAATTGAATTTGATGAAGTGAGGACTCATTCCCCAAGACCAGCATTGCAAAGATGCCTCTTTGCCTCTCTCTTCTCTTAAACATCCCTCTTTGTGGAAATAGCATATTAAGTTGGAAAACCTTAAAACTGGCAGAGATTTCTGCAAAACAATTTATTTCATATTATATTATACAATTAAGAAACAGTAAAGTTAGATGATTTTCGTCACTAGAAGATCATCCCTAATGGTGAAGCTGAGATGGGAATCTGGCTTCTCCTACTCCAGGAAAACCAAACGGAGTGTCGGAACATACCATAAAGCCAGCAGGAGCATCACATGGGAAACATGAAAACAATGCAGATAAAAAACGCTGATGAGCAAAGAAGGATAATTTTGTTATTGTTTTTTATTTTCTTAAAATCTAAAAATTGTTTTCAAAATAAATGTTAGCTATAGTTACTTAAACCATGTTCAATGATGTCTAACTCAAAAATAAGAGAGAAGAGAAAGTCTATAATGGCGATCAGAAAATGGAAAATAAAATGGAAAAATACAATGTTTTTGAATTTTTAATAATTTCTAGTGATAACATAATTGTAAAAACTCAAGGATGTCAAACAGATGTAAAGAAGTAGGAAAAATAATTAGAATACCACCTCCCAAACCACCCTAACTAGTGTTTTAGTATACTTTGTCCAATCTTTTCTGTGGGTGTATGTATTTTTCTTTATAATCGAGTATCTCTCAGATTTAATTTTGTATTATGCTTTTGTGGCTTATCATTGAATCATAAGTATTTCTCACATCGTGAGATAAAAACTGTATAAATTTAACATTTACTATTTGTATGATGTTCCATCATTATACCATAGTTTATTCACCATCGATTGCTATATTATTTAATATTTAGAATATTTGATGAGATAAAAACTGTATAAATTTAACATTTACTATTTGTATGATGTTACATCATTATACCATAGTTTATTCACCATCGATTGCTATATTATTTAATATTTAGAATATTTGTAATCTTTTGCTAAACAAATGACATGATGAATATCTGTGCATAAATATTCATCTAAATTTTATGTCATTCTTGTATGGTAGATTTCTAGATCTAAAAATACAACATGAAAAAAATAAGTTTTTAAGAGGGGAGTGAATTTTAGGAACATTTAAAAGAGATGCAGGATATTTAAAAAGCTTCCAACTTCTGACCTTTCAGATTTAGTAATCTTTAAGCATACATCTTTTTTTTTTTTTTTAAAAAAAAAGAAATCCTTTTCTTTGCTATAACTTTGGGGGCTTCCTGACTCATCTTCTTTTGCAAAAATTATGGAGTTAAGTTTCAAGTAAGGCAGCCTACAATATCTGGGTTATAGTCTCACGTTACCGTTTCCCCCTATTTCTAACTTTTGCTAAACCTTCTAATTCAGAGCTATATTTCTTGTCTCTTTAAAATTTTCTAGAATTTCTTTTAAATGTCACTAATTTTAATAGCTTAGCAGTGGCAATGCTGCTTTCTGGCAGTGTCCTGATAGTGGCATCAAAGCAAAGAGCTAAAATTTTACTCACTTTGATTGATGAGCTCATTTTGTTACAGAGGACAAATTGGATTTTTTTTTTTATACTGGTAATAAAAATTAATGTGTTATGTTGCTTTTCGGATGTTATTGGATTTCTGCCTTAATACAGATTTCAGCAATAAAAGCACTAATAGATAACTTGACCAGAAAGTTACCTTCTTTCTTTTTAAACTACCCTCAAAAGTAAACGGTGCTTTCCTAATTTTGTAATCCTAGTACATTTATGAGTATATGTATGCATGCATGTATTGGTGGAAATGGGGTTGAGGGCTGTGGGGAGAGCAGTAGCCAGTGGGGTGATAGTCTGTATTTCAATTTTCCATTCAATTGTGGTGTCTGTTTCTTTTTATTTCAGCACCTCCAAGGTTTACACGAACTCCTGTTGATCAGACAGGGGTCTCTGGTGGAGTTGCCTCTTTCATTTGCCAAGCTACAGGAGACCCGAGACCTAAAATTGTCTGGAATAAAAAAGGAAAGAAAGTCAGCAATCAGAGATTTGAGGTATTAGGTCCATTGTTCTGTTTCTCTGGGGGAAGAATGTATCTGTTATGTCTTTGGTTTATATGTAACTTACTTGCTTTCCTCTGATATAAGGTGTTATAATCACTGACATATGGCATTCCTTATATTGCATGTGTTAGAAAAGTGTAAATGGCTTTCAGAGAAAGAGAATTTGGAGGCTCAAATGGCTGACTTTTGTTTCTATTTGTGCTGGGACTCAATGTTCTTGGGATCCAATTGTCCGCTTCATATTCGGGCTACTTCCCCTTAAGGTTGTAGCATGGAGGCTCACGTCCTTACATGATCAAATGTAGAGGATGTGTGAAAGCTTGTCTTTTCCAGAAGCTTCTTATCTATCCCATTGGCTCTTATTGAGTTACATGTTCATCCCTGATTCAATTATTGTGGGAAGGTGGATGGTATAGGCTAATTAATTTAAACCAATCAGAAAATACTTCTGTTGCTGGACATGGGGTCAGTTCTACCCAATCCATGGCTTAGAATGAGGAAACAGTGTTTTCCCAAAGGGAGTTCAAGTTCCTCCTACCAAGAAGGGAAATGGATTCTGAGCAGTGAATGAAGCTGTCAACTGTATTTCACACCTGTGTTTTACAAGTGTGGACTAGAATGAGGAATTTGGTCCAAAGTACCACTCTGAAAGAAACATACATGAAGATATTGTTATTACAATTAAACCTATTGAAGAAACTGATTTTCTTTATTCAGGAAAGCTCAGGAGGATGATGAAATATAACTCAGAAGTTTGTTTTTGAGTGTTTGTGAGGAGCCTTATGGTTTGGGAATTTGCTCATTCTGGAGAAGAAAAACAGGCTGTAAGCTACATAGACAAAATGGCAAAGAAGCACACAATATCACACCTGTAATTTAATACATGAAGAGGATAGCTTGATTTTTAGGGGATACCAACACTCCCAAACTGTCCAAAATTGTAAAACTCACTTCCTCTACACCTAAATTTCTTGTCTGCATCATAACCTAATTCACAATTTCGTAGATCAAAACCAATATCCTAGTTAAAAGAAGTAAACTACAACAAAATTTGGAATAATTTGATTTTACTCATTTTCACAAGATCTCCCAGGGTGAGTTGTGGTTCACATACATAAAGAACCTCATTTATGGCAATGGTAAATTTCAAATCTGGACTATAGTTTACATATGATAATTTTAAAATTATATTTGTTTGAAAAGCAAATAAAGTGATTAAACATAACAAGAATATCTTAAATAGTCTTCAGGAAATATTTCCTACGTCATGTAAAAAATGATGTGTGTTCATCTGTGGTGCACTTATTTTGCTTTTTTTAGTTTAAATGAAGTTAATTTTTTTGTCAGAGAGGAGTTTTGCATCATGCTTGCTTCTGACTATGGCTTCTTTACAAAATCTTATTACAAAGATTAAATTAACATACTAAGCATTTCAAAGCATAAGCTCTGCTCAGTACATATTGCCCAATGAGAGTCAAATAAGCACATCCAGGGAAGATTAATTATTTTTACACAAAGCACCTACATCAAGCAGTATCGAGTCTTGGGCTGAAAATCTTTAGTGTCTGTAACAGTATACATACATATATATATATATATATATATATATAGTTTTTGCTAGTCTGTCAGGCCCATCAGAATATTAGATGAGGCTATTTTTGCTCCCTTATATCACTAGTACCAAATATGATGTCTAGTCCATGGTGGGCACAAAATCAATACTGGGTATTTAATAGGTTTTCATATTGGAAATTACAACACTAGCTTAGAATATGTGGTATGTTTTTTGTTTGTTGTAAGAGGGAAGGTCTAAATCTAGGAATTATATCTGAAATGTGAACATAAAGTGACATTTAACAATAAATTAATCGAAACTTAAGTTGGCATTAAAGAAGTTTAAACTTTCCTTTACATTAAACCATAGGATACTCTTTTTTAAAAAAATTATGGAATAGTTAGCAAAGATTCGAAAAACTATGAAACTTTTCTCTCCTAATATTCATAGTAGATTCATTTTAAAATGTGTGCTTAACAGAGTTGAAAATAAATTATGGCACATTAAGAAAGAAGACATTTTGGATATCTTTGTGAATTTAGAATGAAAATGGAATGTGCAAGAGACTTGAAGTGTATATATTTTAGAAATATTTTGTCTCCTTGCTCTGTATGTTAATAAAAAAATTATGGAATAGTTAGCAAAGATTCGAAAAACTATGAAACTTTTCTCTCCTAATATTCATAGTAGATTCATTTTAAAATGTGTGCCTAACAGAGTTGAAAATAAATTATGGCACATTAAGAAAGAAGACATTTTGGATATCTTTGTGAATTTAGAATGAAAGTGCAAGAGACTTGAAGTGTATATATTTTAGAAATATTTTGTCTCCTTGCTCTGTATGTTAACATACACACACTCATACATACATAAAATCTGGGATTAAGCATCCTAAATGTATTTATGAGGTATTCTCAATTTATTCACAATTTGCATACATGGAAGTATTATTCACAGGGAAATGCAAAAAAAAAAAAAAAA